GCATAGATATGGGATTAAATGGAGGGTCCACTTTGAGATTTTTGAGGTTTCTCCACAGTTCTTTCTAAAGAGGCTGTATTAGTTGGCAGTACTACCAGCAGTGTAAAAGTATTTCTTTCTTTCCATATTTGCAGCAACATCTGCAGCTTTGGGACTTCGTGATATGAGGTAATCTTCCTGCGGTTAGGTAATATTTCAGGATGGTTTTGATTTGAATTTCTCTGATGCTTAGGGATGATGAGCATTTTTGCATATATATTTTTAGCCATTCTTTTCATGTTTCTTGCTCAGTGATAGATTGGATTGTTTGCTCTTTTTCTGTTGATTAGTTTGAGCTCTCTGTAAATTTTAGTTACCCTTTGTCAGGTTTGTAACATGCTGTATCTTTTCCCTTTCTGAAGGTTGTGTTATTGCTTCAAATATTGTGTTCTTAGCTGTGCAGAAGGTTTCAGCTTAATTAAGTCCCATTTGTTTATTTTTGTTGCTGTTGCAATTGCCAATGAAGTCTTCTTCATAAAATTGTTCCATGGACCAACATCATTAAAAGTTTTTCCTAGGCTTTCTTCTATGATTTTTATTATTTCAGGTTTTATATTTAAATATCTTGTCCACTTCAGTCTTTTTACAAGTGGTAAAAGGTGTGGGTCTAGTTTCAGTCTTTTCTATGTGGTTAACCAGTTCTCCCAGCACCATTTATTGAATAGGGATTCTTTTCCCCAAAGTATGCTTTTGTTTGGTTTTTCCTTGTATCTTCCACAAAGCAATAAATGTGGTATTCAACACTAAGAAAAATTTTCATCCTGACACAAAGGCATGAAAACTATATAACCTTATGCTGAATGACAGTTATGTGAAGGAAGAGATAAAGGAGGCAATTATTAAAATTCTTGAACATAACAACAAGGAAGCCATAAGTTACTAAAACCTGTGGTATCTTGCAAAAACAGTCCTAAGAGGTAAATTTATCACATTAGATGACTACATCCAAAAAATAGAAAGAGAACCCACCACCTAACCTAATGAATTATCTCAAAGAAATGGAAAAGGAACAGCAATCCAATCCCAAGCCTAGCAGAAAAAAAAGAAATAACCAAAGTTAAATTAGAAATAAATGAAATTGAAAACAAAAGAATCATTCAAAAAATTACTGAAATATGACTTCTCTTCTTTGAAAAGAGAAACAAAATTAATAAACCTTTGGCCAAATTAACTAAAAATAGAAAAGTAAGATCTTTAATAACCTCAATTAGAAATGAAAAGGGGGAAATAACAACAGATACCACGGAGATATAAAAGTTTATCTCTGACTTCTATAAAAAACTCTGTGCCCAGAAATTTGACAATGTGAAGGAAATGGACGAGTACTTGGAATTGCACCATCTCTTGAGACCTAACTGGAAATAAATAGATCTCTTCAACAGACTGATATCAAGCACTGAAATTGAAAAAACAATAAAAAAGCTCCCAACACAAAGAAGCCCTGGACAAGATGGCCTCACACCAGAATTCTATCAAACCTTCAAAGAAAAGTTTATTCCCATACTGCAGAAACTACTCAAAAACATTGAGAAGGAAGGAATCTTCCCTAACATGAAGCAAAAATCACTCTGATACCAAAATCAGGAAAGGATCCAACTAACAAGAATTAAAACCAACTTCACTAGTGAATATCAATTCAAAAATACTCAATGAAATTCTAGCAAATACATTATAGATACACATTTTTAAAAAGTATATATCACGATCAAGTAGGCTTCATCCCAGGGATGCAAGCCTGGTTTAACTTACACAAATTCATAAATGTAAATTCACCATATCAATAGAAGCAAAAACAAAGACCATATAATCCTCTCATTAGATGCAGAAAAGCATTTGATAAAATTCAGCATTATTTTCTAACAATACTTAAGAATATAGGTAGACAGCACATTTCTTAAACTGATAGAAGCCATCTATCAGATGTTATCCACAGCCAATATCATACTTAATGGAGTAAAACTGAAAGCTTTTCCACATAGAACTGGAACAAGATAAGGATTTCCACTATCACCACTACTATTCAACACAGTTCTAGAAGTTCTAGCCAATGCAATCAGGTAAGAGAAGGAAATAAAGGGCATCCAAATGGAGGGAGAGGAGGTCAAACTCTCACTCATTGCTGATGATATGATCTTGTACCCCAAAGGTTTAATAACAAGATGCCTGGAAATGATCAAGAAATGCAGTAATGTCTCAGGTTATAAAATCAAAGCCCATAAATCCCTAGCCTTTGTAAATGCTAATAACAGCCAAGTTGAGAAGCAAATCAAGGATACAACACCCTTCACAGTAACCTCAAAGAAAATTAAATACTTAGGAACATAGCTAACAAAGGAGGTGAAGGATCTCTACAAAGAAAATTATGGAACCCTAAGAAAAGAAATATCACCTTTTCTATTAATGCAGTACATTTTAAAACAGTGGGCTAGGGAGGGGGCAGGAACCAGCATGCAGCAGGCTATGGGGACATCATGTGCAGTAGGAGCACGAGACTGGGAGGTAGCCTCTTTGCAGGAGGGGGAGTACCTGCAGCTGCATGTAGTGCCCAGCAAAGAAGGCCAAATGAGCACATAGGAGGGTATGGAAGCACAACAGAACTGGGCACCAGGTTCATGGGATCATCTAAACTACCAACAGAGTGGTGTGAGGAAAAACAGTGCCACCCCACAGTGGCTGATGCCCTCAGCACTCTTATTCAAGCTCATAGCTTGTTAGTGTGCATTTCCACGGGGTCAGCGCTCTTAAGGACCATTGCCCAGGCCTCCTTGCTGACCTGTTCCCACCCTGCTCTCCCTGCCCCAGCAAAGTCCCAGTGGAATGGATGCACTGGAGTGAGGAGATGCTTGTGCTGTGATCACATGCAGAAATTATGGTTGCAAGCACTAAGCTGTGAGCTGTGTTGCATCTTTTCCTATGTGCTTTCACCCTTGTTTAGTGCTCATGAGAACCCATGTGAAAGCTAAGGAGATGGGGCAGACAGGATGTGTTATGGGCACAACGAAGGGCCAGGCTATACTCCATTGTCACCATCTCCAGGAGCTCAGCAGATGCCCACACACTCAGGGACCTCCCCACCCCAAATCAGTCCAAACCAAATATCTAGAGTCACCACTAAAAGTCATATCCTGTGGAGATGTCATCAAGGGACCCAGGGGGTAATTTCCTTTTAGTTCTTGTAACAAGATCATCACATGTGATTGTGGGACAACAATGTCTGAGGCAAAAGTCCATTTTCTGTGTGCTTTGGTGCTCCCAAGTTAAGCCTGTTTAAGGACCATGGGCATATGGTGAGTGTGCATGGAAAGAAAGGGAAGGAGAAGAGAAGGGGTCTTGTCAAAGGTCACCTCATCCATGCCAATGCCACTGTGTCACAGGGAGAGAAATGGACATTGGTGTGTGGACACCCAAGATTATGAAACCTCCAACTGATGGCACAGTCTATTTCATTCTTCATTTTTATCTCAAAAAATGAAATAAATAAAAAAAATGAATAAACATCTGACTAGGTATAGAAACATACCTAGTCAGATGTTTATTATTATAGGTTTATTTGCTACAGAAAAATACAAGCTTTACAAATTATTTTAAAATTTGTATTAAGTTCAATGTTTGAGTGAAGTACCCACAAGCTTTTTATTGCTTAATATAATTCTGTAGTTCATATCCACAAATGGTCCATTCTCAACCCATATAGCACTTTGGTAGAGCTCAAACTCAGAAATGGGCAGACTGACAAGTGAGTAGAGCATGCCACCCTGAGAAAAGCTCTGTCAGATGCTTTGTCCTGCTGGTTTCTGAGGCCAACGTTAGTGAATGCAAATCCAACATAGATCATCCAACAATCAGGGATGGGCTATAAAATTTTATGTAGGCATTCATAAAGGTTAGAGAGCATAAAGCATTATTTTTCTTTTGATTATGCTTATTAAAGGAAAGCAGAATACATACTAAGAATAGTTTTCGGCAGGTGCATCTGACAATTGATTGACCCTAGTGGGGATGGCCAGCCAGGGTCCCCACAGTGCCTCATGCTGGGCATTGATTACAAAATAGATATTCACCTCCTAATACATTGTCTTAATCCAGGACGTTAGCTATTTCCTCCAAGAAATAAGAATATATAAACTTCACGTGTGACAATATATCAAATTTCGCTTCAGAATTCTAATCTTAAAAACATTGAATAAATGAAACACAAAGGGACATTTATCAATGCATATTAATAAATTACTCTATATAAAAAGTAATAGCTTGAACAACAAATTAAAAGGAAATCAGAAAATCATTTAGGCAACTCTAAGTAAAAAAACTCATACATAGTCCCAAGATATAAAAGTATTCATAGAAATTGATAAAAATATATATATATATCAAAAAGTAAATGGTAAAAAGACACAAAGAAGTAATTAACCAAGAGGAAATCTAACGGATTCATGAGCATAGGAAAACAATGTCTAGTGTTTCATTAGACCAAATGAAAAGCACCCACAACTCTCTCTTGCTCTCTTAAATTGATAGAGATCTTTTTAATAAAAAGTATAGTGTTTGGTAGTATAAAGCAGGAACTGTGATTCACTGAGGGCTATATCGGTATAACTTTTTATGTAACATTTTGTGCATAATCAGGACATTTCTTGTCCTGTCTTTCTGTTGCTTCTGCAATCATATTCTGATCCTTGCCCAGTGTTACTATGATGTGGGTACAATCTCCTCCTGAGAAGAAAAAGCCTAGTGCTGCAGGGGAAGCCCTGGACTCTGTGTTTTGGGAACTGCTGCATCCTTGCCCTATGTCCTGTGGTATTTGAAACTCACCCCCTACCTTCTCAGGGCCTTCTCTCGGTGTGTGCCAGGCGGTAACTGGACCACACTGCCTCTAAAGCATCCCCAGTCATCACAATGTATCATACTGTTGATTTGATAGCAAGTATTTAAGCAAAAAGAGAAAGTGAAAGTCGGCATACCTATTTTTAAGGTGCTGAGGAGAACCAAGACACCTAAAGCTGCCGTCAACCATGATGGCCAGTCTTGTGCAGAGCGCCTCACACTCTTCCATGCTGGAAGGAAAGAAAAAAGTATCTGTAAAAAAAAGTCACATCCTAAAGATTTTTCATTGGCAAAAACAAACTTTTACCAATGAAGAGTAGTCAAAAACACTAATAGGGAAAATTATTTAATCTTTTTATATAGATATCTTATGTAAAGCAAATTAAAATCTTTAAAAATTGATAGGATTTTATTTAGGTAACCAATTACACAGTTAAAAATTTAGCTTTCCCATATATCAGGAAGATTATGTATAAAATATATAGGAGAGAATCATTTAGCAATAGTATAAAAGTATGAAATAAATATGAATGATCTTAAGAAAATAACATTAATATCTTATAAAAAGTAACAAGGAAGTTTTACTAAGACACAAATGAAATGTTGACTTAATGTAAGATAGTATAAAATAAAATAAGGAATATTTTTAAAATAGGAAAACTGTTATAAAAACTAGTAAAATATAAAATGTTAATATAATAGTAGCATAAATATAAAATATAATATTATTATAAGTGTAACTATAAAATATAAGTAACCTAATTGTAAATAATATAAATATAATTTATATTTTACTACAGTATATGATATAAAATGTAATACTATAAATTACATTACATTTAATTATAATTGCAATTATAATTTAATTTTTTTTTTTTTTTTTTTTTTGAGACAGAGCCTCAAGCTGTCCCCCTGGGCAGAGTGCCGTGGCATTACAGCTCACAGCAACCTCCAACTCCTGGGCTCAAGCGAGTCTCTTGCCTCCGCCTCCCAAGTAGCTGGGACCACAGGCGCCCGCCACAACGCCCGGCTATTTTTTGGTTGCAGCCGTCATTGTTGTTTGGCAGGTCTGGGCTGGGGATTCGAACCCGCCACCTTAGGTGTACGTGGCTGGCACCTTAGCCAGTTGAGCTATAGGCACCGAGCCATAATTTAATATTTTAAGTGAAAATACAATGTTATAAAGATTTGTAATGTACAATTACATTACTATAATTATATAAGAATATCAATTATAACATAGATATGGTATTATATCAATAAAATTTTAAGTTTAAATGTATTACAACCAGAAGAAAATTTTCAAATAATTATAAAGTATATCTTTAAAATCACTTAATGAGAGACTGAGCATGCACCCGCCCCCCTTGAGGTCTGGTGGCAGGAGCAGGAGGTCCTTCTCTTCCTCCTTCTTGCTATCCTTCTAGGATGAGCTCTGCAGCACCAAAGCTCTCTCAGAGGAGCTTTGCCATGTGATACTAGCAAGATGGCGGCTGAGTAACAGCTCCTGTGCAAGCAGGTGCAGTGAGAACGGGGAGAGAAGACTCCAGGCATCTGGCTGGTGGGTTCTGCCCAGAAACTTCCCTTTGGTGACACAGGAAGTCAGTGAGAGACTTTTGGACCCCATGAGGAGGACAAAAGTGGCGGAAAACTGGCAAGTGGTAGGTGCATTTCTTCGGTCAGAGGATGCCTGGAGCTGTAACCATAACAACGGGGGGACTGCAAACAGGAAAAGCCTGACTTGTGGGCTGTTTTGGTTTTTTTGGACTTGGGCACTCCATTGAACTGCCTTGTAGATCTTGGATGAGTGTGTGGACAACTTTGGGCATTGTCTGGGTCCCCAGATTGAGCTGTTGAGCCACAAAGGAGCTAATATCGTTCAGCTGTCAGCTGCCCACACAGCTACTGTGGGGGAACTGCCCCTGCATGTTGCAGCATGGGGATCAGTCGGGAGAACTTGAGCAAGTAATCTAGTGATTGAGCTGCCCAAAGGCAGAGACTGAGACACTGGGGAAGAATGGAGATCCAAGTGTTTGGCAGATTAAAAGCCTTGGCCCTCAGGGGCATAGAGGAAGATCAGATTTGATGCACTGGATAAGCAGGTAGCCACGCCAGGAGAGAACCCCTCAATAAGTGTTTTCCTTGGAAAGCTTCTGCTTAGCCAAGGTTCAGATTTTGGAGTGTCCTTTAAGTGGGCTGAGGAGACATTTGGGCTCCCAAGCCTGAGTGGTCTGAGAAATCAGCAGAGGCCTCCAGTCTCCATCTCATACAGCTGTATCAACATTGTGATTAACATCTGATACCTCAGAAGATCACATGTTCCCTGGACAATATTCAGTTAGATATATATTCTGTTTGGTTTTTTGGTTTGGGTTTTTTTTTTCCTTAATTTCAACATTTTTCCTTGATATTTTTCTTTTTTTCTCTCTCTTTTTGTTCTTTTTTCTCTCATTATTTTCACTCTTCTAGTTTAAATACAATCTTCCATTTTTGGCTTCTTTAACAATTAGAATTTCATTTTGCCAGTGTTTCTACCCCTACTATTTGTTTTTTTCCCCAATGTTATCCTGTAAGGGTTTTTTCTTGTTTGTTTCAGTTTGATTTATACTATTTTTGTCTTTCCTTTCTACCTGGTGGAGGTGGGGTACTGTGTGATCAGGAAAGCAAAGAGCTCTTGACCTCAAGGGAACCACCCAACCCACCATCCCAAGAGTTTGGGAGTTTTTAAGGTTTTGTCATAGTATCCTACTATACATCTATATTACTCCTGACTCCTTCTTTCAGTGCCTTTCTTTTTTTTCTCATTATTTACTTTTACTCACCCCTTCTCCTTTCTCTTTTTTCTTTCTTTTTAAAATCTTTATTCCCTTTTTGCTCTTCAATCTTCTCATCTTTCTGTTCCCATACCAAAAGGACTCATTAAAACTTTAGGCCAGGCTTGGCACTTGTGGCTTAAGCGGCTAAGGCACCAGCCACATACACCTAAGGTGGTGGGTTCGAATCCAGCCTGGGCCCGCCAAACAACAATAATGGCTGCAACCAAAAAATAGCCGGGTATTGTGGTGGGCACCTGTAATCCCAGCTACTTGGGAGGCTTGAGCCCAGGAGTTGGAGGTTGCTGTGAGCAGTGAAGCCAGGGCACTCTACCCAGGGGCTCAGCTTGAGGCTTTGTCTCAAAAAAAAAAAAACTTTAGGCCAGATGCATAGTAACTTAAAGAGCAAGAAGAAGTGAAAGGAAAATTAGGCTAAGGAAACAGAAACAAGAAAGCACTAATGAAGAAGAATCATCAAAAAAATCCTGTCAAAATGAAATACCAGTCCAGAGCAACCCCTTCAAGGGACTGTGAGGTAACTACAGCAGAAGAGTCCACCTATAAAGAAATGTTAGAAATGAGAGAAGGGGAATTTAAAAATACACATGATGAAAACAATGAAGGAAATTGCTGAGAAAGTGGAAAATAACCAGAATAGAATCAAATAAGAGATGAACGATATGAAGAATATAGAAAGGATATAGCAGAGCTGAAGGAACTGACACAGTCAATTAGGGAACTTAAAGATGCAATAGAAAGTATCAACAAGAGGTTAGACCATGCAGAAGAAAGAATCTCAGAGGCAGAAGACAAAGCTCTTGAGATAACTCAGATAGCTAAAGATGCAGAAAGGAAGAGAGAGAAAGCAGTATGTTCACTGACAGAATTATAGGACTCTATGAAGCATTCAAACATATGAGTTATAGGTATCCCAGAAGGGGAAGAAGAATGCCCCAGAGGAATGGAAGTCATTCTAGAGAATATTATAAATGAAAATTTCCCAAATATCACCAAAGATTCTGACACACTCCTTTCAGTGGGATATGGGTCCCCCTGGTCACCTCAACTCAAATAGAGCTTCTCCAAGGCACATTGTAATGAATCTATCTAAAATCAAGACAAAAGAAAAGATTTTGCCAGCTGCTGGCAGTAAACACCAACTAACCTACAGGGGCAAATCTATCAGGATGACCATGGACTTCTGTAATGAAACTTTTCAAGCCAGAAGACAAAGGTCATCTATCTTTAATCTACTTAAACATAGCAATTTCCAGCCCAGAATTCTATATCCCACTAAACTAAGCTTTAAAATTGATGGAGAAATCAAATTTTAAATTGATATGCAAACATTGAGGAAATTTGCCACAACAAGACCAGCTTTACAGGAAATAATTCAACCTGTTCTACACACTGACCATCATAATGGACCTTCAGCAAACTAAACACCCAGAAATTAAAGGACAGAACCTAGTTTCCACAATGATGCAAAAGACATAACTAAGCAATGGATTTTCACAAAATAAGATGAATAGAATGCTACCACACTTATCAATTATCTCAATAAATGTCAATGGCTTGAATTCCCCACTGAAGAGGCGTAGATTGGCTGACTGGATTAAAAAACACAAGCCGTCTATTTGCAGTCTGCAGGAAACACATCCCATGTCCAAAGATAAATTAAAACTCAGAGTTAAGGTTTGGAAGTCAATTTTTCAGGCAAATGGAATTCAGAAGAAAAGAGGGGTTGCAATCTTATTTTCAGATACATGTGGATTTAAAGCAACTAAAATAAAAAAAGACAATGATGGTTACTGCATATTGGTCAAGGGAAAAATACAACAAGAAGACATCTCAATTCTAAATATTTATGCACACAATTTAAATGTTCACAGATTCTTGAAACAGACCTTGCTTGGTCTAAGCAATATTATATCATATAACACCATGATAACAGGGGACACCCCTCTCTCAGAGCTGGACAGATCCTCTAAACAGAAATTAAACAAAGACATTAGAGATTTAAATGAGACCTTAGAACAACTGTGCTTGGGTGTGTCTATTCCATAGACATATATAGAATACTCCATCCCAATGATAAAGAATATACATTCTTATTATCCCATGGAACATTCTCCAAAACTGATCTTATCCTAGGACACAAAACAAACCTCAACAGAATCAAAATAATTGAAATTCTACCTTCCATCTTCTCAAATCACAAGGCACTAAAAGTAGAACTCAACTCCAACAAAAAATGTTCAACCTCATACAAAGGCATGGAAGTGAAACAATCTTATGCTGAATGACAGTTGGGTGCAGGAAGAAATAAAAAAGGAAATTATTCACTTCCTTAAGCATAACAACAAGGAAGACACAAGCTACCAAAACCTATGGGATACAGCAAAAGTGGTCTTGAG